TCCATCCTCTAGTTTCAAGGATCTTTGGTCAATGGAGCCCTGCCTTGTTTGTAAGTCCGGTCTGTAAATCCTTTATGGCCTGTCTCTCTGAACATGATAAATGTGGGACTGGACTGGGGCGTGAAGTATTGGTGACAACAGGCTTTCCTTCGTGGGAGGAGAGGCGGGACGTCGATGGCAGTGCTGTGTCTCCCTGCCCATCCTGCCAACTCCACCTGCTGCCGGGCACCTCTCAGAGCAATCAGGCCCACGGAACAGGCTGTGCTCCCCCAGGGTTCCTGGCGGAGATGCAGGGGGAGGGGACAAGCATGGTGAAGTCATGCTGCTGGCTTTGGCCTGCTTATAAATGTGCTCACGCGCCAGCATCTTCTCGCGTCTTGCTGGCCTGGTGCTTATGGCCATGTACTCCTCCTCATACTGCAGGTGGCTTCTTTGCGTTGGCTTTATGTTTTATTTAACCTCGGTATACTTAACTTGTCTTTGGTCAGGAGTCCCTAAAATATACTCCATGACATCCATCCTGTAGTGTCACATTTGTGTCGCATAAAACCATCCTGTAAATCTGCAAACTTGTCATTGGATTTGTGTGAAAGGATTTAAGGCTTAGTATTCAAAATAGCATTTAGCTTTATTTCTGCTTGATTTAATTCTGCATGATTTATAGCACCAAACGATGCAGCTCCTGTTAGTTGTGGTCAAGTTTATTTCAGGCAATCAGGGTGATGCACAGGCACATGAACAGCTTCCTGTGATTTTTAATATAACATACATTTTGTCGCTGAAGAATTTGCGTACCATGGGAGGAGCTGAATGCCCATGTGCCTGAACGGCTGTTGTTAGGCACGCAGCTGGTGGGTATCACCAGAAGGGAGTGGAGTGTGTTCTGCGGGTCTGTCGCTCACGCGTGACCGGTGCTGCAGCACTTCGTGTTGGACTGATGTGGTTATGAGCGTGCTCAGTGTGCAGAGACGGACTCTCTCAAGGTGACTCCCATCACGCCCTGATCTACTCCAACCACAGAAAACACCATACATCCATACTTTATCTTTTCAATATTTTTTTTTCAGCACAAGGAAAGAACTAGGTGTCACTGGAGATTTGTGAAAGGAGGTTGGGGGGGAGAGATTTTATGGAAACCAAACGAGAACCCACTATTTAAACTAATTAGTGTACATTTAATTGGGGGGGGGGGGGGTTGCCCCCCCAAAACAGCCCTTGCCACATCTCGGCAAAGAACAAAGCTGGTATGTCCGAACTGGAACTGAAATGCTTCATCCTGCCCAACCATTCTGACATTTCATTGTGAGCCAAACGACTGGAAGGTAAGTCATACGCAAGTCAGCAAACCCGTGACCTGGAACAGTGCGTTAATTATTGAGACCCCTGCTGTGTCTAGCACAGATACTCAGCTGGGTAGCTGGTAGTGCTTTGCAGGACTTGACTTCTGATCTTGGCAGTATCCAGCGGGTTTATTGCATGAGCGAGGTTTAAAGAATGTTCTAATAGCAGAGATCTGGACCAGGAGCAGCCACGAGTCACGGACGGCTTCACCGGCGAGTAACGTGGGTGTGGATCAAAAAGCAGGACTGGCTCTGGGACTCTGGCACTTTGATGTGGTTGGTTGGGACCATCCAAGGTCCTAGCAGATGCTATACAGCAGTGTAACAGCCGCCTTGATGGGAGGGAAACGGTTGCACAATAATGTAGTAATTTAGCAAATTTTAATTGATACAGATAACAGTTCATTTTTCTGTAATATTACTGAGTACTGAGTAAATACATTAAATAATTACCGATAACCAGCTAGCGTTTGCTGCTGGTAAAGTTTAATGATGGGGAGGGGGGTTCCAGTGGTGATACTTGCCAAGCAGAATGATATCACCTTGCTCTTCTTAATCTGTGGAAAACGGAATTCTTATCTGCAGGCAAGATTTAATAATGAGTTATAAACATGTTGTCACGGTTGTGGGGCAGGCAGACCGAAAAGCAGGCGAATGGAGCCGTACTTACGGGTAAATGGGGTTTTATTGATGAACGGACAGACAGGTATGGACATCTACGGACACTACAATGAAGGATCTGGGAAACAGAAGAGGACGCGGACTAATATACACAAGACTAGTCAAAATAACAGGACACAGGTGATCACAATAAGGGATTAACACGAGTTAATGAGGGGGGCGCGGCACACACGAGGATCGGACGGAGCTGGGCGTGACACATGTCGTGAGCCTGTTCTTTGAGACCTTTCGTAAGTGGTAAATGAGCTGATGAAATCCCTTGTCCTCCACTATTGAAAATGATCGTTCGTTGCAGTCATCACCATTTTTGTAGGAGTAAACTTTGAATATTGACTGAAATCTAAATATCGGCTGGGAATAGTAGGGAAATGTAGACAAATGATTTTTATGGCTATTCATTTAAAGTAAAAGTGGTTAAGATGACACATTTATGGGAGATCATGCCTGGCAAGGTATCGAGTGACTCCAGAAGAAAAAGGTTTGATGGAGTCGTCATGTATGGTGTCCAGGTCTACTCAGTAGTGAGGTTGTCTCTGTTACTGACAGTATGGGAGTGCATGCACTTTTCCTGAGTCAGTAAGCCCTGAGTAAGTAAGTGGGGAGTCTGTGCATGGCACATGTTCCCATTCTGCACCAGGGATCTGTATGGGCGGGCTGGAAAGCTTTGTACCAGCTTGAAAACTGTGAACTTATCATTTTTGTTTTCATTTTGTGACATCTCAGATTGGAAGTATTACTCTTATAAATACCATGTTATTTTCATGACCATTTTTAAAGGTTGGTCAATCTAGTGAACTCCCTATTCCCAAGAAAGTCCAGGTGATCAGGCTGTGGTGTGATCACTAACGGCCATTGGCAAATGATTTTTGATGTGAGGTTTACTTAGGTCATCTCTAACAGACCTGCAGGTTGTCACTTACCATCAATGGGAGCAGTGAGCTTCATCGCTCTTTTAGCTAGTGCTCCCTGTCCTGCATGCTGCTTTCAGACACCTTATTAAAAAACATAATCTGCAAAAAGTGAAAAGAAAAGCATACACCAGAATGTACCAGACCTGTATGCATTATAAAATAGTACTGAACAGTTGTTGGGGAATTGCAGAAAAGAAGAAGCCGGAATATCCACTTTATTGTCTGTACATACAAAACTGGAATAAAATGTTCAATAGAAAACTGTGCTTTAATATGTAGAATATGAAAGCTTAAACAAAACAGAAATCTTTAAATCCACAGCTTAACTAGAACTATATTGTTTTGAGGTTTGTAATTACATGTATTTATGATTCCTGGTATTCCTGCAATGGCCTGGTACCAAAACAGATCTTTATAGAGTCTAAATTACAGTCTGCCCTTGGAAGTCAGCCACTTCACGAAGAATGCTGTAATGTCACCTTGTCTGGAGAGTGCAGGCTTCTGAGTTTCCCCTTCCTCTGTCGTTCGTCAAATGTCCATTTCACTTGTCCTACCGGGGAATGCTCGTACCAAATCCGTTTGGAGTTTCCTGTGCTTCCCACCCAGCCCGGTACCCGGCGATGTGTGTGTCACGTCTGGGTGTCTACAGTAGTGCCCCCAAAGAGCAGTAGGCCCCCCCGTAGACCAACGTGTCATCTGTGTCACTTCCACTTGTCCCACAGGCGAGACAGCAAGCACAACTGAGGCATCAGATGGCTGAGGACAGCAAGAATGAGTACACATCCTGCCTGCAGAAGTTCAACCAAGAGCAGAATGAACATTATTACACCCTCATACCACACATTTTCCAGGTAATACAGTGTCTTTATGCTCATTGTTTAGGATCACTCCATTATGGGGGAGTGTTGTGTGGCTCAGCAGGACTCATAGGACCCATAATCTGAAGGTCCCCCATCAAACTTTGATCAAGGCTGCTCTAGGGACCCTGGACGCTGCCTGGCCCTGTACTGTGACTCCCAGGCTCTCACCTGTGTATGTGTTGGTGTCTCATGAAGAGTAAGATGGGCAACAAGACCATTTCCGCTTGGAGACCAATGAAGTATCAATATTCTGGTTCTCCCTCCCTCCTCCTTGTCGTCACCTATGAAACTTGAAGCTCTTTAGACGTTCCCCACAATTGTTGATAAACACAGGAAACAAGGCGAAATGTTATACATCTGTGGAATGGTTAAATATGAAGGCTGATTCCCATGAACTGAAAGAACTGTTCTGGTTTGTTTGTCCGCATACAGAAAATTCAGGACATGGAGGAAAGGCGCATAGAGAAAGTTGGGGAGTCCATGAAGATGTTTGCAGAGATCGACCGCCAAGTGCTACCCATCGTGGGCAAATGTCTCGATGGCATGACCAAATCAGCGGAATCAGTTGAGCCCAAATTAGTGAGTGGAATTGAAATAGCATATGTATAACATTTTCTCTTCGCGAATACAAGCGGCCGAAATGAGGTTTCTCCGCAGGGTGTCTGGGCTCTCCCTTAGGGATAGGGTGAGAAGTTCGGATATCCGGGAGGGCCTCGGAGTAGAACCGCTGCTTCTTCACGTCGAAAGGAGCCAGTTGAGGTGGTTTGGACATCTGGTGCGGATGCCTCCTGGGCGGCTACCCGGAGAGGTTTTCCGTGCCTGTCCTACAGGGAGGAGGCCCCGGGGCAGGCCCAGGACTCGCTGGAGGGATTATATCTCTCGGCTGGCCTGGGAACGCCTCGGTGTCCCCCCCGAGGAGCTGGTGGGGTTAGCTGGGGAGAGGGAGGCCTGGGTGCCTCTACTGAAGCTGCTACCCCCGCGACCCGAACCCCGGACAAGCGGAAGATGATGGATGGATGGATGGATAACATTTTCTTTCTGAGTTTAAATTCTTTTGGTTTGAAAACCGAAGAAAAGATAAATGTGACATATTGCAGTGGACTAATGAAAATGACAGGAGTAATCAAATTAGCGCATGTAATATATGTGTAGCTATATCAGTTATGCAATAGTATTATGAATCAATTCCTTGGCTTGAAATTCTAGTTTCTAGTTTCAATTTAATAGATATTTTAAAAATTTGGAGTGCAGTATAACCATAATAAACCAGACAGAAGAAAAAATTCTCAGAATTATAAAAGTCACTGAGAAATCAAGGTGTTGCCACAGATTTGTCTGCTTGCGTCATTGCAAACGTGTTCCATGAATGTGCCTTTAGGTTCATAACCTTGCAGACATACTGTGTGACCTTCACACTCATTAACACCCATTTACAAATAATTAGCATTGACATACACATTATTATTAATAAAATCTGTGAATTCACATGTTGTGTGGATTCCGTCTGTGATGCTGTCTGTAGTTGCTGCACTGCGGTACACGTAGGGTCTCATGAATATGTAAGCATGATAACAGAGTGAATGTGCGTTTTTATTTTCTGCATTTTGGGGCAGCGCTATGGAAGTGTGCTGCTTTGATCAGTGCCATTGAGGTGGCTGGAGTAACTGCAGAGCATTTTGCTGCATCGCACAGAGGAAAAATTACCACATTGTTTGAAGTGGCTGTATTATGCACATAAGCAAAACGTGAAGCGGAAGGCCGAGAGGCTCTCCCTGGTTCCCATACAGTAATTAATTGATGAGCCTCGCTGTTGCTAGGCAGACTCTGTTCCCATTGGAATGTTCTGAGATTCTACCAATCGGCTCAAAGCAAGTGACTGAATACTCATCTGTCCCCACAGATTACTTAGTATAAATGATTAAAATAGTCACCATAACTCATGACTGTTTATTGTGTAACAGATTCTGGTGTCTCCTTCAGAAAAGAGGACCCAACAGACTAAGTGTCCCCTCCTGTCTGTAGCTCCTCTCCTTCCATGTGTAGTTTTAATAAAACATAATCTTCAAGAAATGAATGTTCTAAATACAGAAGTGAGGTGCTTTCTCTGGGACAGCGGCATCCCTTTCGGCACCCAGTTCCGCCGTGTCAGCAGAGCTGTGCTGGATATGATCCTGTGGGTGGCCAGAGTCCAAGGCCGTGGGCCCAGTCAGGCACTCCAGCCTTTTGCGACTCCCAGATTCTGGACATGAGGCCCAGCAGATGACATGATGTTTGCTTCCCTGTCAGCAGGAAACCATGGCTTGCGGTCCTCGCCTTTTTCCGCTGCTTTGTTTTTATTGTAGATATCATTTATGTGACAGTTATTCATGCAATTTTTTATAGGGCTTTTATGTAGTTGACTGTTATGTAAACTCCTTAACTTGATTGTATTCATGTTGGGCAGTTTTGGAGTGGCTGGGGTTTTCTTGTAATATATTTCCTGTGAATGTTCCTTTTGTTAAAGTGAAAAAGAAATATATGATTAGTTGTATAGAGTTTGATCTCAAATGGTGAAATAACATGCCATGTAGATTGTAGCAGCTGGTATGCTCAGTAAGATTCTGTCATTGTCCTCCAGGATTCGAACCAAGTGATAGAATCATACAAGTCTGGCTTTGAGCCCCCTGGCGACGTAGAGTTTGAAGATTACAGTCAGCCAATGAAAAGGACAGCATCGGAGAACAGCTTGTCCAACTCGCGAGGCGAGGGCAAGGATAAGCCCAGCGGCAAGAGCAAGCCCAAACTGTGGCCTTTCATCAAGAAGAACAAGGTAGCCGTGCGAACCCTACCTCACACGTGTGCTGTCCTCCACGCGTTCTGCTCTCTGAGCCGGTCCTCAGCCCAGACAGCACTAATGTCTCAGGACACCTTAGGAATAGCACTCCCTGTAACACTTGTATCATTGGCTAGGTGCCTGCGTGGTATAGGACTTCAGTGTAAGACTTCTTTTTGTGATTATTTGACTGTCATTTACATGTCTTTCTTTGTTTGAGTTTAGTTACGTTATAACATGCGTCGCTTGTTGTTTCCGTCTTTCTTTGGTCATGGGTCATCCCCATTTTTGCCCAGCCTCCCATATTAACAGTCCCCTGGGTCGCGGTAAATCAGACCCACCCTCACCCTGTGGATGCTGCCATACTCCCGCGTGCCGCAGCATTCACTGCCTTCCGCCGCCCCCCCATTCTAATAATGAATCCCAGTGTGGTTCATTTGGAGCCCGCCCCATCCCCCCCTCCCACTGCTCTGCTCCTCTCCTTTCATGTTGCTGGGTGATTTTGGCATGTGCCTTACAGACAGACTCACGTCAGGCTGGGCTACGTGTTTGAATGCTGTTGTGAACTTCATTTTCTGGGGTTCTTCAAGTGATTTCTCATTTAACCCGTCCATTACTTCATCCATTAACCTTTTCATTAATTGATCTATTCATTCATACAGTACATGTTTTTGTATGTTTTTTCCATGTATTCATTGTAATACTGCTATGAATCCATCCAGTTTTTGAACCATTTTGAATGTTTTGTGTTTTTTTTATTAGCCATTTAGGAATAAGAGATGTGTTCTGTTTGGATAGATATGACAAACAATAGACACTTAAGTAGTCTGATCCAAATAGGCAAAATCATGCAAAGGCTATTACCACTTTCAAGGTGGCATAACTGTCAAGAAAATGTAATTCGCACATTGTGAATTATAATCACCATTGTTAGATACTGCAGTTTTTTTTTTTTGGATTTTTGACTAGACCTCAAGAGAAACATTCAATATGCTGCTGCTCTTACTGTGTTTCATATATCCTTTCTGTTGTGGTATATGGAAATATACAGAAACTTCTAGGGTTTATGGAACTGCTCTATCTCTCATCTGTAAATTTGAAATGAAGAGAAAATAAGAGTGTTCCTATGTTGAACTTAGAAGGTTTGTCCATTGGTGGGAACAAGTACTGGTAAATAACACAATTTCATGATTTCTGCCTTGTAATCTAGTTCATAAATGCAGGCTTTTAGCCGGGTCTTGGAACAGATGAAATGTAAAGTTACATGGAGCTGAAGGTACATTGGGTAACTTGCCTTGGTAGTTGGGGCATCACAGAATGAACAAATCATAATTCTTATGATATGCAAGAACACCAACTTGAGTTCCATTTGTTTATGATTCAACACAGTGGGAAAGGCTGAAAATGACAGTATAAGTTGCATTGTAAACCTGTGTATCCATTCAACACATACTGCTTTGTTGAAGGCTCTATGTGTGTAAAAACAGTCAGCTCCTTAGAAAAAGGTTTGAGATGGGAATGTTGTTTCTGGGATTTTGACTTGGGATTCCTCAAGACGGTTGTGGCTGAACAGTTCTTGGAACCTAAATCTGCATGAATAATGTACAGAAGAGAAAAACTGCAATGTATCATTGCATGCAGATGCCAGATTTTTCGTCACAGTATTCATAAAAGGAAAAACAAAAACTTCTGGTTACAACACATTCTCACTTTAACCCTTGGATGGTGTTGGGTTTGTGCTAGCTTTTATGTGTGACAGTTTGCTATGGATCTGAGTGTCAGATTTATAAGTATACATGTACAATGTAGTCACACTAGTAAATACTTATTTATCCTTAGATTTATTCATACAAGTGTGATCTGCATGATAAGGAAATCTATCGAGTTGTTAAACCTGTCTTATTGCAAATTTAGCTTTTGTGAATTTATTTTTGCAGTGGTCTCAATATTGTAATTCTACACTCTTCATGTTTTACAGTATAATTTGTGAAAGAGTGACTCAGAAAACCGGGCCCACTGAAGTCCATCAAATTATGTCATTTTTCTATGTCTTCCATCCTAAATACCTTTTTGGTTCATTATTGGCCTCCAAAATTTTGAGTCTTACAAGAAGAAAACCAAGTGATGCTTTAATTATAATTTGCATCCTTGTTGTATGTAACTGTACAGTAGAATTGTATGTAACTGTACAGTAGAACCATGAACAAAGAGTGTCAGTAGTAGGTGCAGAACCCACCTGTCCTTGAGGCTGCTCTCTTCCTCTCAAAGGGGAAACGCTATTTCCAGCTTCAAGACTGTGTTGTGAGGTTCCTGACGGATACAAGTGTTCCCCAGTCATTGTGCTATTGCAGACACAAAAATAAAGCAGCATATTTTTAGTTATGTGCAGGGTGTCCACATGAAGCTTTTACAACCTGGAGTATTCATAACCTCCAGATGGTATGTAATTTATAATTTAACATTTTTTCAAGTTTCTGGAAAAAGGGGTTTTACATCAGACCCTGAAGATGCCAGAGTGATGACAAAACATTTATGTGAAAATGGGAGGATATGAAGTTTAAGAGTCTCAGTCACTGTGATGTGAAATTCAGGTTTCCTGTACACAACCTGAATTTGTACCTCCAACATATCCAAAAAAAAGTGTTCATTATTGATCAAAAATTAATCACTATCACTGGTTGGCTTGCTAACTTTAATGTGATGGAAATAGGTGCTTAATGTCCCATCATGAAATGCTCTTAGCTACTGTAGGTACCGTCAGCGCTATGCTATGACTACATTGTACAAAACCCAGAACTTCTGAGGCTGAGCTGATGGTGTCGGTATCGCTGATGATCCCGACGTGTTGCCAATGGCGTGTGCTGACATCCTGTAACAAGCTGAACTTCCAATTGACGGACCTGCATGTCATCAATGAGCGATAGCATGAGCCTTTTGCCAAGCAAATCGTCTTACCTGCTCTAACAACTTGCTTTAACATGCTTTTGCTTTTCATATTTTTCAAATGTCTCTACTGCTGTGCCTCGTAATACTTATGAAAAAAAAAAAGTTTGGTATTTTTGTTTGCTGTCCATGTCTTTAGTCTTATTTTTCTTGTTTGTTTCCTTTTATCCTTTGTTGTTTCACTCCTCCTCTCTGCCACAACATCTTTATTTTTATTTCTTTTACTGGTAGCTTATGTCCCTGTTAACGTCCCCCCACCAGCCCCCTCCTCCCCCTCCTGCCTCACCCTGCCCCTCTGCTGTCCCCAACGGCCCCCAGTCTCCCAAGCAGCACAAGGAGCTCCTCTCACACCGCCTCAACGAGTTCATGACCTCCAAACCCAAAATGCACTGTTTCCGGAGTCTCAAGCGCGGGGTAAGTCGTCCTGTGGATGTTGTGCGTCTCTCACTGTCCATGCTGCTGTATGCCATGGGGGCCACGGTCGCCTGCCAAGAAAACCCCAGAAAGGGGAAAATGGTGTCAGATGTAACTAAGCGCTGCAAGAATTTGGTCCTTGCAGTGTCTCAGGTTGATGTTATATTCTATATCTCAATATTCAATATTCAAGGTCTCCTTGGTTGTATGTCTTATATCTGAGCAGCATGCTATAGGTCAGGTAAGACATATAAACAAGGCTGGCTCTCCCTGACATTGCTTACGGTGATAGATCCTGTTGCTAAATCAGCACCACCTGCTGTGTTGCACCTTTAATCGCTGAAACGCAGCTCTTCCTCTTTCCGGCTTCCCATCCTGAAATTTATCCCCTGTTAGAAGACCTAGTGTCTTTAGACGTTAGTGTTTTTATTTGACCGAGTAATCCTATATTTTAGTTATAAAGGGAGGTGCTGCGTACTCAGGCCAGTATGTGAGACCTGTGGCCAGGCAAAATGTGGACAGTCACAAAGTGGCACCTGACAGGCTGTCTGGCAGCATCTTAGAGGCACCCTTGATCCCTTCATACAGCGCTCGCATCTTCATGCTCTTCCTCATCTCCTCCTGCACGCTTATTTCTCTGTCTGGAGAAAAACGGCTCCTGTCTCTGGTGAAACATCTTGCAAGTCAACAGAGCAAACTTATGTCATGTGATGACATCATAGCTCGCTGCCTGACATCTGGAGTATAAATGATGTTGAATGACTTTCGGATAAGCATGATCAGGGACATATAGAGAGAGCCAGAGGAGAATCAGTGAATGTCTTCTAGGATGTCATATATAACATCCATAAAAACTGCATATGTATACATATATGCACACATGTATACAGTACACTAATCGCCTTATATATGATGATGGTGATAATGATTAATATAATAAAGTAAAAGTTTAGTCTCAGTTTCAGAATGAAAATACATTTATTTATGAAGAATGAAGATATATCTTCAATTTTTCCTACCTAAGTCACCCACCATAAAAGCGTGTTATCACAGTGGTGTATGGTGGCTGGAGAAAAGTTATTGCTCTCGAACATACAACAGAGCATGTCTTACTGATGTTCCTGTAGTGGTGATGCAGGTCCGAGGCCGCATCGGAGACTTGTGAGGGCCCGGGCTTGTCTGAGCACCATTGTCACACGTGTGGAAAGGTTTGCTTTGGAGAGGGTAAGCGGGGTCACTTTTGAATGGTGTTTCCTTCGGGGAGCTGCCCTGTTGGCAGCCTGCAGAGGGAGCGCCGGAGGGAAAGTGAGGAGCACACCTAGGCCACTCTGCGGAAAGCAGCTGCGGGGAATAGCTGCGGGGGGCAACTGGCCATACATATATATATATATATATATGTAGTGTGTGTTACTCTTATGTTCGTTTCTTTGGTAACGCTCATGAGATTTGTAAATGTTTGCAAGTATCGTGAATTACATTTCTGCAGGTCCACATTGAAATTGGAATTCTTCATCCTTGTTCCAAACCCTTGTTTAGGTTGCATTTCGCACATAGTGATACAGTAGTAAACACAGTTCAGTGTAGATAAAAGGTGATTAAAAGGGGAGAGTTGTGCATTGGGCTGTGTGATAGGGTTGGTGTCCAGTTGACAGTGGAATTGAAAAGCAGATTATGTATATAGGGTGATTTTGATGACATTAAAGCACTTTTTGTTCCATGCTAATCACAATGACTTTTACCTTAACTGCAAATTAAAATTCTAGGTCATTCGTGTGGTCATTAAAATTCATTATTTACACTGACATCACAACATTTATATTTGTTTTATTTCACATGTCCAGGTTCTAGGCATAAAATGTAGCTTGTTTCGGATGTTAGATTATTTTTCTGATTAATATATTTAATAATCTTTACAAATTATTGGTAGGTTAAGATGATGGAGGACATATCTGTTTTAAATCGTCGAAATACTCTTTGAGTAATCATTAGGCGACCAGGCACCGTACTGTAATGTAACAGCGATTAAACATTTAACTCCCCCTGCAGTTACACCCGCTTTGGTTTTTCTTTATGTATTAGGGGTGTTTATGAGGAGCATGAGTCTCAGCAGGGGAGCATTAAGCAGATAAAGTCTGATAAACAAATGCAGGGCCGTGTGTCTGAGCTGCAGGTCCCCCATGCCTGCCCCACTCCCTGAGGTGAAGGGAGGACTTGCAGGCTGCCGTCCCCCTAGTCCCACTTAAAGCGTGATCGCCCCCCGACTGTGTGCTTTGGGGAGCGGGGGCTCTCCCTGGCAGCTTGTGCTTGAAGGACATTAACAACGGTGTGTTCTCTCCCACCACCCCCCCCACCCCCCGCAGCAGTCCGGCTGCTCTTACGCTAATCAGACAGAGATCATGAAGAGGACTTTAGGCAAGCCGACGTATGCCTACGAGGCCAGGCAGTTTGTCGTAAGTGTGTGCGCATACGCTCCTCCGGGGCTGTATGCGAGCTGCGAAGACACTAATCGCATTTTAAAAAGATAGAAGATGGGCGTGTCATGGCTCCCCCCACACCCCAGGGGGCAGCAGAGTCATGCTTGCGACCTCACACTTCTGTCACGTGCTGGTGAATTAATTTTCAAAGCAGACATCATAGGCTTGTGATTTCTTTTCCACATTGTTTTCAGTAGGCCGCTTGCCTCAGTTCGGGATCTTTTCATTTGCATCATTCACTGTTTATTCTATTTTTTTTTTATCACTTCACCTTTATGACAGTTGATTCAGTTCACGCATGAAATAAACAAGTAGTTTGAAGAGTCTGGGATGAGGTGTTAGTGGTCAGGAACGCCTCTCACCCTTCTTATTTTATATCTCATCGCTTTCACTGTTTTCCTAAAGAAGAGCTTCGCTGCGGCTCCTTAAATGAGGCTAGTGTCTGGCACTGCTCCATAACAAACGCGCCCCATCGGTCACATGGTCACATGCCAGCCTCATCTCCTGTTACTGCAACTGTGCCTCTGCTGAGCATCTGCACACTGGTAGAATAGAAGCACATCTTGACCATGCAATCCCCCCGCACACACACACATGCATTTTACCATTATGGCAGACGATCGAATAACATAAGGCATGGGAGGGAAGCGGATTCAGTTCCTACAGAAGGAAATGAAGGGAGCACACCCCCCCCCCAGCTGGATTTACCATTCAGCTTATTAGCCAGCAGCTGTGCTCAGGTGCCGGTGACACTGTACTGCATCAGCGCAGTGTGCTTACGCTGTAGGTCTTCTGTTTTACGCCAGCAAAGCCCTGCTTTCTCCAGGATTATCAGCCTCCTGTTGCTCACTGGTATTTCTGGTAGCCATAGCAGTATATTGATCTAAAAATAAAAGCACAAGTTACAAGCTGCTTGATGTAGCCTAAACCAGAGAAAACGAGGAGACCGATCTTAAAGTATTAAATAAGTGTTACTGTGTTCTATATCCACAGGACAAATTTACTTACACTCATAAGCCTATACTGTTCATCCGTAAACGTACCATATAGACTTCTGAGTATAATTAGATTTGTGATGTACAGGGGAGGAAAGTCTGTAGTAAACATTCAAAATGGCAAAGTTTCTCTCCTGACTTCAGTGTATGATTTCAGACCTGGTGAAAAGTCCACGCATATTATTGAAACTCAAGTTGTATAACGTTGGGCAGCATGAACTGAAATCCAGCTTTGCCTTCCGGATAATGTGTTTTTCTGTTACAGCCTTGATTTGCTTAACTCGATTGTTCTACTTATTTTGGGATTGATCTTTAAAAACGTTTTTAAACAGCCTTGTATTTTTTTTCTGAAAAATGCTTATTAATTTTGATTCCTGTTTTTGTATGTGTGTGTTAAATCTTGTGCAGCTTACAAGTCAGCTATGTAAACATGCTCCGTGTGACTTAATTTAATAACATGCACATTGTTTCGACCAGCTGAGAAATAAGCCGATATGAAAGCAAGCAAGCATGCCAGATAGCTACCTAGTTTATAATTCAATGCTGCATAAAAGGAACCAAGTTTAGTTTTCATTACACTGTGGAGATGCCTGGTTCCTCATATGTTGGAAATCAGCATGAACCTTACCGCTTTGTTTAAAGGTGCAGTTTGGAGCCCGTAGGGGGTGGCAAGGAGTGGCCCAGGGTGCCCCCCCCCCCATCCGCTACTGTTGATGGGAGAGAGGGGCTGTCACACCTCTTCGTTTGTGTCACCTGTCTGCACTGACCCCCGTGCAAAGCGCATACACACTCCACCATCCGTTTGCATCTGTGTGAGTGTGTGTGTGTGTGTGTGTGTGCGTGCAGGCGTGCGAGTGTGTGTGTGCGTGCAGGCGTGCCCGTGTATGTGTGTGTGTGTGTGTGTGTGTGCGTGCAGGCGTGCGAGTGTGTGTGTGCGTGCAGGCGTGCCCGTGTATGTGTGTG